CATCCAGAACATCCAGAACGCTGCAGCTCGGGTCCTGACTCGAACTAGGAAGTACGAGCACATAAGTCCTGTGCTCAGGTCTCTGCACTGGCTCCTGTGGCTCAGAGACTTTAAAGCAGCTCTGCTTGTACAAGTGTCTCCATGGCCGAGCACCAAAGTCCATCTGTGACATGTTAGTGTCATATGAACATCTCACACTCTGAGGAGCTCAGGGACCAACTCCTGCTGGTGCCCAGAGTCACGACTAAACAAGGGGAGTCAGAGTTTCAGGTTCATGCAGCTAAAACCTGGAACAGTCTGAACATGTGAGACAGACTCTTCTGTGACGCTGTTTAAATCCAGACTCAAAACATTTCTGTTTAACTGTGCAAATAACTGAAAGGTTTTCATTCCTGCACTCTTCTCTCCAATTTATGTCTCTCTTTTTTAATTTTAATCTTCACGATTATTTATGTTTTGATTTGTTTTTATTATGATTTTAATGTATTTCTTATTCTGTAAAGCACTTTGAATTACTTTGTGTACGAATTGTGCTGTACAAATAAACTTGCCTTGCCTACTTGTGTGGGACCAAATGCAGTGGAAACAAGTGAGACGAGAGTGAGCGGTCAGCGGGAGCAGAGGTGGACACTTGTACCTCAGGTGAGTCTGCGGGACTGTGGGACAGACGGGAGTGAGAAAGCAGTGGGTCTGCAGTGGGATGGGAGCACATGAGACAGACTCTGGTCTAAAACGAACGGAGAGGAACCTGTAAAAGGTTGATGCGCACGTGCACGGGTTTACAGTGGTGCGTGTGTGTGAGGGGCACATGTGCACGTGGAGTTTTCCGAACACAAACCCAGTCAGTTCTGTCACGGCCCACACAAAGTTCCTTTTCTCTTTTACCCCTTTTCTTCTTTCCTCCTTTCTCCCTTTCCTCCTTTTTCCTTTATTCCTTTTCTTCTTTTCTCTTTTTCTTCTTTCTTCCCCCTTTCCTCCTTTACTTCTTTTCTCCTTTTTCCTTTCCTCCTTTTCTTTTTTTCTCTTTTTCTTCTTTTTTCTTTCCTCCTTTATTCCTTTCCTCTTTTATTCCTTTTCTGCTTTTCTCTTTTTCTTCTTTATTTCTTCCCCCTTTCCTCCTTTACTTCTTTTCTCCTTTTTCCTTTCCTCCTTTTCTTCTTGTCTCTTTTTCTTATTTTTCTCCTTTCCTCCCCTCCTCCTTTTCTCTTTTCTTCTTTTCCTTCTTACATCTGTTCCTCCTTCCCTCCTTCTCCTCTCCTCTTTTTTAATGTATCAGTGTTGATCTGTTCAGTGGTTCGGTGGTGTAGTTTGTGGGCCAGGCCACCGGGGGAAACAGTGAGCACCGCCCTGGACTTTTCTGTATAAAAGCTACAAAACATCATCACCGTCCCCGAGCGCAAACGCAAAAAAAAAAAAAAAACACAACTCTGAAACAACACTGCAACTTCAACACTCGACAATAACACACACAACACACATCAGAGCACTGACGTCACACTGGGGGGGCTCTACATGTGTGTGCAGTGGACAGTGTTGGGAGAAACTAATTACTGTAATGTGTTGATTTTTGTTGTAGTAATGTTCAGAATTACAGGGGAAAATGTTCCGCTCCTGGTTTAGTTCTGGTTTAGTCCTGGTTTAGTCCTGGTTTAGTCCTGATTTAGTCCTGGTTTAGTCCTGGTTTAGTCCTGTTTAGTTTAGTCCTGGTTTAGTCCTGGTTTAGTGATTGATGGTTTAGTCCTGGTTTAGTCCTGGTTTAGTCCTGGTTTAGTGTTTAGTCCTGGTTTAGTCCTGGTTTAGTCCTGGTTTAGTCCTAGTCCTGATTTAGTCCTGGTTTTAGTCCTGTTTAGTGGTTTAGTCCTGGTTTAGTCCTGGTTTGATTTAGTCCTGGTTTAGTCCTGATTTCAGTCCTGATTTAGTCCTGGTTTAGTCCTGGTTTAGTCCTGTTTAGTTGGTTTAGTCCTGGGTTTAGTCCTTGATTTAGTCCTGGTTTAGTCCTGGTTTAGTCCTGTTTAGTCCTGATTTAGTCCTGATTTAGTCCTGATTTAGTCCTGATTCCTGTTTAGTCCTGGTTAGTCTGATTAGTCCTGGTTTAGTCCTGATTTAGTCCTGATTTAGTCAGTCCTGATTTAGTCCTGGTTTAGTTCTGGTTTAGTCCTGATTCAGTCCTGATTTAGTCCTGATTTAGTCCTGGTTTAGTCCTGATTTAGTCCTGGTTTAGTTTCTAGTCCTGATTTAGTCCTGGTTTAGTCCTTGATTTAGTCCTTGTTTATTTCAGTCCTGGATTTAGTCCTGGTTTAGTCCTTGATTTAGTCCTGGTTTTCAGATTAGTCCTGATTTAGTCCTGGTTTAGTCCTGATTCAGTCCTGATTCAGTCAGTCCTGATTTATTTAGTCCTGTTTAGTCCTGATTTAGTCCTGGTTTAGTCCTGATTTAGTCCTGATTTAGTCCTGGTTTAGTCCTGATTTAGTCCTGATTAGTCCTGATTTTAGTCCTGATTTAGTCCTGGTTTAGTCCTGGTTTAGTCCTGATTCTGATTTAGTCCTGTTTCAGTCCTGATTTAGTCCTGATTTAGTCCTGGTTTAGTCATATTAAATATCCATCTGTATCTCTCTCTCCCTCCATTCCTCTCTCTTTCTTTCTCTCTCTCGTTTTCATTAAAATGCCCCCTCTCCCCTCCTCTCTTTTTTTCTCTCATATTAAATGTCTCTCTCTCTCTCTCTCTCTCTCTCTCTGTCTCTCTCTCTATCCCCCTCTCCATTTCTCTCTCATATTAAATGCTCCCTTTCTCCCTCTCTCTTTCTTCCTCTCCTTTTCCCTCCCTCTCTTTTTCCCTCCCTTTCATTAAAATGTCTCTCTCTCTCCTTTTCTATTTCATATTCTCTCTCAAATGTCCATCTGTCTCTCCTCCCTCCCTCCCTCCATCTCTCCCTTTCTCCTCTCTCCTTCTTCATTTCTCTCTCATCTTAAATGTCCCCTTGTCTCTCTCTTCTCCTGTTCATCTTCTTCTCCGTCTCTGTCTCTGGGATGGTGGGATGAGTTCGTGTTTCTCTGGCGCAGGAAACGGAGAATCGTCCCAAGATTCCAGAGAAATGATAGAGTGTAAAGAGAGAAAGATTTTCCCCGAGTTAAACGAGTGGAATAACGTCCTCTTAAAACGAGCGCCATCATCGTTTTACGCGCTTCTCTCTTTTCTAAAATCAGTCAAAAGCGGAGAGTCGGCGCATCGGCTTCGGCTTCAGAGACGGAGGAAGAAAAGGAGGAGCAAATGGAGATGGAGAGATCTGGTCCAGAGGAGGAGGAAGAGGAAGAGGAGAGCACCTACATCGGGTCATACGCTGGACTTTGAAGAGGCTGAAGGAGATGGGTTCATTTCAAATCCAAATAATCCCCAAGATCCTCTCCTCGGGTCTACAAGAACTTGACGAAAACCGAGGAAGAACCCTGGATGAAAGAGCAGAAATGCAAGAAGAAAATCGATTGTTGCTGCGCCCAAAGATCCGTCCGTGTCTTTGGACCTGACGAGAAGATCACGATGAAGACCACGGACGACCTGTGGACCTGTGGGATGAGTTTAAGACCCGCTCGCGACGGAAAGAGCGCTGAACTTTTCAAACCAGAGAACTCGTCTTCAGGGAGGTTCTCGTCCAGAAACTTGAGGAGGTGGTACGGAGCTCGGGCCAGATTAATTGAGTCCAGTTCCCAGACGAGTTCTTCTCTTCAGGAATCAGTAAATCTGTCCTGGTTTAGTCCTGGGCTAGACCTGGTTCATGCAGGGTTTATTCCAGTCTTAGACCTGGTTTAGGCTGGGTTTAGTCTAGTCCTAGACCTGGTTCATGCAGGGTTTATTCCAGTCTTAGACCTGGTTTAGGCTGGGTTTAGTCTAGTCCTAAATCTGGTTCATGCCAGGTGTAGGTGTTTAGGTCGGGTTTAGTCCTGAGCAAAACCTGATTCAGGCTGGGTTTAGTCCTGGGACAGACCTGGTTTAGGCCAGGTTTAGTCCAGTCCTAGACCTAGTTTAAACACGGTGGAGTCCTGGGGTAGACCTGATTTAGGCCGGGTGTAGTCCGGCCCTAGACCTAGTTTTGGTCTGGTTTATTCCTGGGCTAGACTGGGTTCTTATTCACAGTGAAGAAATGCAGTTTTTTCAAGAGTAATTTAATTTAAAAAAATTAAATAATAATAATAATAATAATAATAATATAATAATAATAATAATAATAATAAACTAATAATAAAAATAAAAAATAAATAAATGAAATAAAATAAAAAGTTATAGTATGTTTACATGTGTTTGTTGTTGGTAAAAATTGGTTAAAAAAAAAAAAAAAAAAATGTAAAATGTAAATACAACAAACAAAAAAAAAAAAACCTTAAAATAGTACAATGCCATATCGTGGAACATTCCAGGTTTCCTGATTTGTGGCACTTGACCAAAGCAAAGTTGAAGTCATAATACTTTAAGAAAAGAGTTTACTACTACTACTATTCTTTTTAATAGAGAATAGACCTGGACTTTTTAGCGTATCAGATATCAGCTTAAATCTCTTAGTTTGGGTCGATTTGCTGCCTGAAATACACACAGTTTTATTTAAACACTTTAATATCAACACAACATGTGAGTTTATCGGCCGTCGGTTGCTCTGGATTCTAAACAATCAGTATCGGCATCGGCCATGAAAAACACAGATATGGGCCGATCTCTGTGTAAGACCAAACGATGTTCCAAACAAAGCAGTAAAATCTCACAAGTAAGATCAAACTTTAACAATCCGACGCTAAAACACCCAAAAGTTTTTACAGGCCAGAGAAATAGGACATTTGACTTATTTTAGACTTACTATCAGGTTCCAAAGAAGTTCTGGGTCAGTTCAGTCCATTAATAAAGAAACACACGAAACACTAAGGCCAACCTGTTTGTAAACCGCACCAAGACCCAAACCCTCTGCGTCTGCGTCTGTGTTTGTGGATATAATCATTGTTGACAGTCCGGACTTTACCTGACGTTGCTGTTGTAGATGTTGAAGGTGAGACACACGATTCCCAGCAGAATTCCCAGACCGGCGAACACGGACACGGACACAAAGAGCTTCTGCGACAGGTACCGGAACTCTTCTATGACGACGGTCTGGTCGGCAGGAGGCCCGGCGCCTGGAGAGAGACAAGAGGAGACAGACACTCAGAGACATGAACCAGATACTCAGACATCTGCACAGAAACGTTACGCTGTGTTTGAGCTAAATGAACAAGAGTTATGATTTTAATTATTTCAGCAAAAGAGACCGACAGGCCAAAGACTGAGGAGCAAAGACTCGTTTGTAGAATGGATCAGTTTGGCACTTGAGCCTCGGCAGATAAAGCTGAAGTCAATGTGATGAAGAGAAAGAATCATTTTTTGCATTAGAAAACTAGAATCTAAATCAGACCATATCATTTGGAGCTAATTTGGAATAACAAAATAAACATATTTTATCATTTTACCTCATGCATGGACTAAAGCTGCATCGCTTTTATTTTAGAGGTGTTTTTTTTTTTTCTTGTACATCTACATTTATATAATTATGTCTTATTTGACACCTGTCTCTTGCTCGTTTTTTCCTACTTATTTAGAATTTATTTTAACCATTTATATTTTTACTCTTTTGTTATTATAATACCGTATTTTCTGGGTCATTTTCTGGGTCTAACCGCATCAAAAAACATCCCGCAATCCAGATACATACACCCATCCACTCGGGTGTCCTAGTACGACTTCAGTAAACTATAAAGCCGCACCTCCTGCAGCGCACGCAAACACACACGGAGCAGACGGCGACTTCACAGCGAAAAACACCCACAGACACACTCGTCACTCCACGCCGACGAGGAACGGAACGGAGGAACGAACCGAGAAAGCGAGTGCAATGTGCCACTTCTAGACACGACTGAACAACTGAGTCACTGCGAACACACCGACAATCCGTTGGTCCCAGACAGCACCTCCCTACACGCCACAACTGAACAAAGCCCAGAGTCACCGTGAACGAACAAACAAACAAAACCACTCACCCATCACACTGTTGTGTTTCATTTAAAGTCCAGTGCGGTTTATTTGTGAAAAAAGTTTGAAAATAGACCATTTAAAGGTTGTATAGAGGATTTTCCAAGGAACGAGAAATCCAGCGACTGTTTGTCCTTTTTCAAATGTTGTGCATGCCTACGTAGAAACGCCTCCTCCCGCCTCCTCCTTACGCCAGAAACAGGTTTGTTTACAGCCGCTGCACATGACTTGTAAACAACTAACTACAGTGTTGGTTAGGCAAGACGGAGAAGTGAGGAGCGGGGGGAGCGGGTGCGCGGACATTTCGTTCGCGGACGAGAAGTGAGGAGCAGGAGAGAGGAGAGGGGAGCGGTGCGCGGAGATTCCGTGCCCGGAGAAGTGAGGAGCAGGGGGAAGAGTGGATCGGGCAGCGGGGACAGGAGCAGGAAAGGGGTGCAGAGAAGGTTGCGCGGAGATTCAGTGCGAATGAACTAGCTACAACACGCAGCAGCAAGCGGACTCTTTCTTTGCCTTGAAAATTACGTTTTCAGACATAGGATATCGCTTTCGTGTCCTGAAAAACGTTTGTCTCGCTCTTGGAAATAAAGTAAGTTTTCATAATAAGCAGAAGTTTCCTGTCCAGGAGTAATTTGTGGACCAGTGGTTCAGTCTTTAGACCCTGCGTCTGCTTCAGTCGCGCCATCGCTGGAATGAATCTTCAAGAATCACCTTAGTTTGGCTTCGCTGCTTTTCCCCTTGTCTTCTTCTTTCATCGACCTCAAAAACGGACTTTCTTTTGCGGCGAACTGCTCCTGGATTCTTGTCGCCATTGCATCAAACTTTGTGTGAACTGCGAGGAAGATATAGGTCAAAAAAAGCCGCTAAGAACTGTTGCGTTGGTGGAGTAAACAGTGTCTGTGCGTCTGTGGACTGTGTGACAGTCGTACGTAAACCACGTAACGGCGGCGCGCAGGCAAGTCAGTTACACTAGAAACGTAGGGAGATTGATTGACAGCCTGTCAGCTCACAGATAACGAGGCAGTGTCGTTATCTATTGGCAAATGTTTAGCCCCACCACGTCCAGAGTTGATGAATTTTTATTCTCTTTTTTTTGGTCATCATAATTACAAGGCTACTGCATCTCTATAATCTATCACTGACAACTTGAAACAAAAAAAAATCCTCCATACAACCTTTAATGACAGTGCGTTTTATAATCCAGAGCACCTAATCGTCTGTAAAATCCGGTACTTGTTAAACATTTAGGCCCGTCCCTCCACAATATTTTCTGTTTCTCACGCGGCTCCATAGAAAAAACAATCGCCCAGTCCTGATCTAAAAGGTTGTGACTAGAGTTAATCGCTCATTTGTTTAGAAAAAGGTTCCCGATAGACGTCACAGTCGCAGTTTTTGAAGTCAGATATCTTGAAGTGTCCAGATAACCACTGTACTTTTAAAGAAGACATCTTGCGGTTGTGTTTGCGATATAGTTCTGTGACACTCGTGGTTCATTCTGTTTTCATCTGTTAAATTTTGACATCTTAAATTGCAGTATTCATCTAAAACCGCTTAATGAAAGAAATAAGTACTCTGAGTTCCGTGTTGCAGTGTGAGTACAGAGAAGTGGGCAGATACGAGAGTCAGTGTGGCATCTTGAAAAGAAGCTATTAAAGACTCCTCAAACACGACGTCAAGAGGGAAATGAGAAGGGGAAACAACTATAACGAGGCTAAAAGGTCTGAAACTGAAGTTGATTTTGCAGAACAGTTCTACTTTAAAACTTTTTTTACCTTAGTTAAGTGACCCTGATCTGATTTTTTCACCCCATGTGACCTGTATCTGATCTTTTAATGACAAGTCTGAACGTAGCCATAGTTATTCAGATCCCTTATCTTTGGATCATATCTGCTGAGTCTCTTTTCTGCCGTTAATACTGTATTAAAGGTGAAATACACAACTTTCTTCTTATAAATGTGTAAAGCAGAAGTTTGCGACAAAAATCAGATGGGAACACTGTTTTCATCTACCGTAAAATCTGGACTATCGAGCGCACCTGAATATAAGCCGCAGGTGTCCACGTCTTCAAGAGCGTTTTCAAGTTCGGGTCGTCTGCTTTTATAGCACAGGTGTCAAACATAAGGCCCGGGGACCAGATCCGGCCCTCCAAGACCTTTAATCTGGCCCTCGGCTGATTTTCTACTAAAATATTTTAATCATATTTTCTATTTAGATATTGGTAATTTTCTGTGGTGTTTATCACAGCAGCGTCTCCAGCGTCTCTGTACGTGGCCCCTCCCACCAGAGCAGCACAAATGAAGACTTGTCTCTTTCCAAACGCTCTTAAAGGACGATCGTTTTGACTGTTGACCGTGACACCTCATCATCAGAAAAATGTCCAAACATGAGAAAAGTGGAGCCGAGTGCAGAATTTTACAACAAAAATGGACTTATTCCTATTTGCAAACAAGTTCATGTTAAAACATTGTGTTGAAATTATTTTTCTTAAAGTTTCAGGTTGATCATAATATAATATTTTGTAAAAGAAAGAGTTCATCAGTTAAAAAAGATTTCTGTAATAGATTTGTGTTTCTCTGCACAAATATTCAAACTTATTGTTATTTTTGGGGTTTATATGACATGAGTTTTCTGATCCGGCCCCTTTGGGATCAAAGTCGTTGGATACGGCCCCCGGACCCAAAATGAGTTTGACGCCCCAGTTTTATGAAAGTTTTGTCGTCTTTTTGCGTTGAGTCAGTTCGTCGCTGCCGTCGCCAAAATCTCACCGTCGACTCACTGATGTGGAGTTCACGTGCAGCAGCTCTGTTTCCTTCTTCCACAGACACATTAATCGACTTTAACTTAAAAGCTGCATCATCTGCTTTTCTTCGTGTGTTTTCCATGAGGAGGGTGTGTGTATGAAGCGCAAAATAACGGTTCAAAACAAAATCAAACAGAATCTTCGCTCTACTGCGCATGTCTCAGAAAGAGTCTCTGTTCTGTCTGTATCGTGTCAGTGTCTTGGAGGATTTCAGCAGATTTGTGGATCGTTTTTACAGATATTTTCACCATAAATTAGCATATTTCTTTTGGAGCCGAAATAATGAAACTACAGCTGCTTCTGAGGGACAAAAATATGCTTTGCTTCTGGAGATACAAAAACTTCATAACACGGTTTAAATCTCCCAGAAGAGCGCGGATTTAACTCATTAGTTTCTTTAAACGGGCTGTGGAAGAGCTGAGATCAGATGTTTTTACACTCAGACTCAGGGAGAGTTACAGCTGCCTGACAGACTCACTGGTGTCTCGATCTGCACCTGTAGCCGTAGAGCACAGGTGTCAAACATGATCCGGCCCTCCAAGACCTTTAATCTGGCCCTCGGCTGATTTTCTACTAAAATATTTTAATCATATTTTCTATTTAGATATTGGTAATTTTCTGTGGTGTTTATCACAGCAGCGTCTCCAGTGTCTCTGTACGTGGCCCCTCCCACCAGAGCAGCACAAATGAAGACTTGTCTCTTTCCAAACGCTCTTAAAGGACGATCGTTTTGACTGTTGACCGTGACACCCTCATCAACAAAATGTCCAACATGAGAAAAGTGGAGCCGAGTGCAGGATTTTACAAGAAAAATGGACTTATTCCTGTTTGCATACAAGTTCACGTTAAAACATTGTGTTGAAATTACATTTTTCTTAAAGTTTCAGGTTGATCATAATATGATATTTTGTAACAGAAAGAGTTCATCAATTAAAAAAGATTTCTGTAATAGATTTGTGTTTCTCTGCACAAATATTTGAACTTATTGTTATTTTTGGGGGTTTATATGACATGGTTTTCGGTTGGATACGGCCCCCGGACCAAAATGAGTTTGACGCCCCAGTTTTATCGCCTCTGAAAGTTTTTGTCGTCTTTTTGCGTTGAGTCAGTTCGTCGCTGCCGTCGCCAAAATCTCACCGTCGACTCACTGATGTGGAGTTCACGTGCAGCAGCTCTGTTTCCTTCTTCCACAGACACATTAATCGACTTTAACTTAAAAGCTGCATCATCTGCATTTCTTCGTGTGTTTTCCATGAGGAGGGTGTGTGTATGAAGCGCAAAATAACTGTTCAAAACACAATCTAGAATCTTCTC